ATCAAGTTTGGGAGCAGCACAGATCCATGGGTATTAACATAAATATTTAGAAGGGAGTTTGACAACATGACCACTTAGCAAAACAACATCAGTAGGTTTCTCCCGAGGGGCTAGGGCTGCCTTAGTCATGCATAGTTTCCCTTCTGCCTCGGAGAAGCAGTAACATGAATCACAGGAACCAAAGGAAGAAATAGAATCATAGGCTTGAAAAATAAATAAATAAAATGGGATTAATCAAGCTAAAATCGTTCTGCAAAACAAATAACCAGTATGAGGAAAAAGTAAGTTGTAGATTAGGAGAAACCTTGAAAATCTTTAGTCAAGGAAAGGTTTATAGTTGGTGGATATAAAGAACTGAAAAAACCTCAACAGAAAAAGTAGGTTAATTTTAAAATGAAAAATATCCAAATAAACTCTACTCAAGAGAGATCACAAGGCTGAAAATATATCTTAGTTGGTAGAACTCAACTAGCATGAACAAAGCCCTGGACTCAATCCCAAGCATTGCAAACAAACCAAGCAGCAGCATAAGCAGAAGGGGGGAGAAGGAGGTGAGGGAAGCATACAAATAGAATATTTAAAAGATATTCAATATCACATATGCTTAATTTAATATATACATTTAAATAAAAAATGTAACGAGATGCCATCTACAGTGGTTTGAATGAGAATGGCCCCCATCCACTCATATATTGGAATGCTTAGTACACAGTTCGTGGATCTATTTGGGAAGGATTAGGATGTGTGGCCTTGGTGAAGGAGGAGTGTCACTGTGGGTGGGCCTTAAGGTTTCCAAAGCCCACATCATTGGCTGTTAGCTCCCTCTGCCTCATGGCTGTGGATTGAGATGTGAGCTCTCATCTACTGTTTCAGTGCCTACCTGCCTGCTGTCACACTCTGTGCCATGATGGTTATGGACTCTGACCCTCTGGAACTATGAACCTCAAATCAAAAACTTTCTTTTATAAGTTTCTTTGGTCATGGAGTGTAGACAGATGTTTCTGTCCCTTCTGGTCCCTCAGCCATTTAGTCCCGAAGAAACACACAGAGGTCTGCATTAACTATAAACTGGTTGGCCTATTAGCTCAGGCTTCTTATTAACTAACTCTTACATCTTAAATTAACCCATTTTTTCCACTGTGTTAGTCATGTGGCTTGGTATCTTTTATTAGTGAGGCATTCTCATCTTGCTTTCTCTGCATCTGGGTGACAACTGCAGACTCTGAGTCTTTCCTCTATGGGGTTTTGTCATAACAATTGAAAAGTAAGTAAGACATTCTTACATCAGCCTTTAATAAAACAAAACAATGAGAAAGACTTGCAAAGCAGCAAAGTAGGAGAAAGGAGAATCCTTAGTGTGTTGGTGAGAATGGAAGTTAGCACAGCTGCTGCGATTTGAATGTCACAGCCATGCTAACTTCATAGAATGTGCAGGAAGGTGTTCCTCCCTCTTCATACTCTAGAAGGAAGTCGGTAGTTTTTGATGTCATTTTCTATGTTTTGTAGAATTCACTAGTGAAATTATCCAGGCCTAGAATTTTCTTTGTGTGAAGGGGTGTGTGTGTGTGTGTGTGTGTGTGTGCGTGTGCGTGTACGTGCACATGCATGTGTGCACACACACAATGGGCTGGTGGTGGTGATGCATATGTGCTGGGGAGTAGCTGTGCATATACACAAAGCCAGGGCAGGATGCTGGGTGTATTCCTCTGTCACTCTCTGAACTATTACTTTGAATCAGGATCTTAATTGAGCAGGAAGCTTGTTTCCTTGTCTAGACTGTCAAAAGAGCTCTTGGGACCTGTCCATCTCTACCCCCAGTTCTGGAGTTGCAGCCACACATAGCCGTTTACATGGGTGTTGGGATTTGAACCCAGGTGCTCATGCCTACAGAGCAAGCATCTCAGCACCCCCACGTAGGAAGATTTTAAAAGATAAATTCATATCAGTGTAAGATCTGGGACTCCTTCATTTCCTGTAGAGAGAGCATTGTTGGCTTCTGTCTTTTATTTATATCATCAAAGTTTTTGCATGCTCACAGTAAACCCATAGGTTTTGTTCATAGTTATAAATCATCTGTACATTGTTGCCATGCTTGTTATTATTGGTATTTTGTTTCTTTCTCTTTTAACAAAGAGTGATTTATTTTATAGGAGCGTTTGCCTGGATGAGTACACAAGCACCTTGCCATGCAGTGCCCCAGGAGTCCAGAAGAGGGCATCAGAACCCCGGCACTGGTGTTGCAGGCAGCTCTCAGCTACCAAGTGGATGCTGGGAACTAAACCTGGTCCTCTGTGAGCCATGGCTCCAGGTCTCCTCTCCAGAGTTTATCAACACTTCTGCCTTAAGGAACAAGCTCACAGTCAATGCCTCTGATTAGAGACATTTGTTCTTTTTATGGTTTTAGAGTATAGTGTTCAACATTGTTTCTACCAAGTCATTTAGAGTACCGTTTCTAGCATTCATTCTACCAGGAGGTTTAGTGACTCCCTTCAAAGTCTCCTCTCTTGATTCTTTCCATCAACACAGTTCCCTTCCATCTGTGCAGGGTTTCTCCCCCCATGACACCTCATTACAAGTAGCTTCATCCTCTGAAAGTGCTAATCAGGATTGAGATTTCTTGGCTTTCCACACATTATACTCCATCCTGAGTGCACTGCTTTCCTTAATTTCCCTTGACTCTGAGTTTTGTCTTCTAAATTAAGGGAGTTAGGTTTGCTATAGCCTTCATTTTGTTGTCTGGTGTCCATTTTCTTTTAAAAAAAAGTTATTTTATGCATATATTTAGTTAGTTGTTTGATTTGGAGTTTGATCCTCAGTCAGAAATACAAGTTGGTAGCATTTTGTGACTTTTACAACCCAGTATTTGATGCTAGAATCAATTTACTAGATTATCATAAGTTCTATAAAACAAAATGTCAGAAAAGAAAAAGTATGTTTATTTTATGTAACTTTTCATGTACCAAGGGCAAGGTGTGTGTGTGTGTGTGTGTGTGTGTGTATGTGTGTGTGTGAACTTCCAAGGCACACTGTTTGTATGTACTGCACTGGGTTGTGATGCACCTGCATTCCTACCCTGGTTCACCATTTGTGTCTGGAGAGATGTGGGAAGACACCATGGTTCAACGCAGGCATGACCTACACCAATCTGTCTCTTCACTGAAGGGGCCTGAGGGGAAACAATCTTTACGTCACATGATCCACCTAAACATGTTTATTATGTCCTCAAAAGCCAATGTCTGGGGGCTCCGAGGAATGGTCTCTGTGTAACAGCTTTCAGGTCTCAGAGTTGATATAAATCTTTAAGTCTGTAAGCTAAAATAGAGTTATCAGTTGTCCGTGTGTCCTGATATTGTCCATGGTGTGCCAAGCCGTCAGGGTGAGTGGAGTAGGGGCCCTTCCTGGCCCAGTGAAGGACATATCTGGTTACTAGAGGAGGCAGAGAGTAAGGTTTTTAGAAGGAATATGGGAACTCAGAGCACAGGACTATAGGGTGAGAGGGACAGTGTCCAGGAAGGCTAACACAGATGGCTGCCTATGTTAGAGGATAGGTAAGGCATGCTTCAAATTCAGTTTATTTTGTTTGCCACTAAGCACACATTTCAATGCACACCCACTGTGATCTGGAGCTAGGTAAATGAATAAAAATGATAGCATCCCCACCTCTAAGCAGTTTCCATAAATAATCTGTTTCAAGGACAGAGCACTGCATACAAGGGACACGGCAGGAAGCCGGCCGCCCATTCTAATTTAAGCGGGATCGTCTTACACTCCCAGTGTAGCAGTAGTGCACATGTAGTCTACAAATCTGCAGATATTCCAACATTCAGTAGACCCCTTCTGTCTATAAACCGCGTGGACACTGAGAACCTTGGGTGCTGCACCAATACTGCGTTCACTACGGGGCATCACTATGGGAGTTGTCTGAGAAAAGCAGGAGTGAGAGTAGGTCCGAGACAGGGAGGGGGTACTCCTTCCTTTCCCTGAGTCCTTAGGGCATCTCCACCCCACAGGCGTGGGCAAAAGGAAGTTAAGATGGCTCAGTGAGTAATGACACTTGGTGCCCAGCCTGATCTGTGTTTGATCCCAGGACACAAGTGGTGGAAGGAGAGAACCGACTTCTACAAGTTATTCTCAGACTGTGCCATGGTTGGCTAGCCCACATATGTATGTGTGTGTATATTCATATATATACACAAGTGTATATATGTACACACACACAGACACACACACACACACACACACACACACACACACACACACACACAC